GAATTTATATACATATACATGTATAATGGTATGCTATGCAACATTGAAAATGAATGATTTACATAAAGTCTAATAACATAAAACTAAACACAATTTGTTTATAGTTACAAATGTATGTACCAAAGTCACAGTGGTAGGAAACAATACCTGTAAATACTAAGAAGTGGGAGAAGGGATATACTGAGAGGTATGCAGAGAGAGGCATGCATTGATCATTCTAATAATGTATTTCTTAAGCAGAGTGATATGATTGTTTATTTTTTCGTGTAATATGTTCAAATATATGTCCTTTTCATATATAAAACACTTAGAGTCAAAAAAGTGTAAAAATGCAGACAGTGAGTGTCTGCCCTGGTATGTAGAAGTTCATACAAAGTAATGTAAAGTTTTAACATTGATAGATACTAGTAAGAGAGATACATGGTGCTATTTAAAATGCGGACTTATGGGGCGCCTGGGTGGCGCAGTTGGTTAAGCGCCCGACTTCAGCCAGGTCACGATCTTGCGGTCCGTGAGTTCAAGCCCCGCGTCGGGCTCTGGGCTGATGGCTCAGAGCCTGGAGCCTGTTTCCGATTCTGTGTCTCCCTCTCTTTCTGCCCCTCCCCCGTTCGTGCTCTGTCTCTCTCTGTCCCAAAAATAAATAAACGTTGAAAAAAAATTTTTTTAAAATGCGGACTTATGACTTTTGAAGCATAACAAAACAGGAAATCACCTATGTAGGGAAAGCTTGGGTATTGTCTCTTACTTCAAAGATCAGTCCTCTTTATTTGCTATTTAATCCTCCCATGCAACTTCCCTGTTTTTTAAACTACATTTTTCAAGGGGCGCCTGGGTGGTTCAGTCAGTTCAGCGTCCGACTTTGGCTCAGGTCATGATCTCACGGTTTGTGGGTTTGAGCCCCAAGTAGGACTCTGTGCTGACAGCTCAGAGCCTGGAACCTGCTTCAGATTTTGTGTCTCCCTCTCTCTGCCCTTCCTGTGCTTGTGCTCTGTCTCTCTGCCTCTCAAAAATGGACAAATGTTAAAAAATTAAAAAAAAAAAAACTACTTTTTTCAAGACCCAGGTAAATTCCATCTCTGTCATAATCCTTAAGATAAATTAAATGCCATTTTGGGCTTCCAAAGATTGATTCCAAGCTTCCCCTGATCCCACGGTCATGGGATGGAACCCCGTGTTGGCCTCTGCACTGAGCATGGAGCCTGCTTAAGATTCTCTGTCTCCTTCTGCCCCTCCCAACCCCCTCCCTCTCTAAAGTAATGAATGAATGAATGAATGAATGAATGAACAAATGAATGAATGAATGAATAAATAAATAAATAAATAAATAAATAAATAAATAAATAAATAAAAGAAGATTCCTCCTTAGAGCTTTTAGAAGGGAATACAGTCTTGTAGATAACCTTGATTTTGCCTTGTGCCACTCTAAGTAGAGACCCCGCCAGCCATCTAACTGCTGACCTACAGAAACTGGTAGATAACCAATATGTGTTACTTTAAGCCACTAAGTTTGTGGTAATTCATCACACTAGCATAGAAATTAACACAGTAATAAACATAAAAACCCACACATAAATGTATAATTAACTATTGTGGTAACTACATAATGGGAAAGAGTAATAGGACACTGAACAAGAGTAATAGGGGGACCTGCTTAAAGACATTCTGAGGAAGCAGACAAAAGGATGAATGTGTTTTATACTTTGTTTTCATGCACTACAATGTACCTCTATAATGCCAGTATTCACTTTTACAAGTAGTTACAGAGTACCGACTAAGTAAGTATAAAGCAAAACATTAGGTATTGGAGAGATGGTATAGATGAGTTCAAGAGATGCCTCACCTCACAAAACTCACAGTCTAGAACACAAGTTGACAAGCCAGTCTGTGGACCAAATCTGGCCTGCCACATGTTTTTGTATGGTGTGTGGGCTAAGAAGGATTTTTACATTTTTAAATGTTTCAGAACAAAATCAAAAGAAAAATAATATTCTATTGCATGTGAAATTTATATGAAGTTCAAATTTCAGTGTTCCTAAATAAAGTTTTATTGGAACACAGCCACATTTGTTTGTGTATTGTCTATGGTTCTTTCACCTTAAAATGGCAGAATTGAGTAGCTGTGAAAGCCCGAAATATTTACCCTTCATTAAAAAAGTATGCCAACTCTAGATTATTATCATAGTTAAATCAAGCATATAGGTGATCATTGAATAAGTACCATCTAGAGAAAGAATGAATTACTTACCATCTCTATTTTGCTGAGTACATTTGACTGTTCCCTTACTGAAATTACAATCACCACTAAGTTCTACCTCCTCTCAAAAACATCTGCCAAGAGACATTGCTTAAAGGCATGCCTTATGAGAAACTCACAAATGCCTGCTTTATACTGTAAGCATTTTCTTTTTTGTATTAGCTAATGTCTTTTCTAATGTTTTAGCTGTTTGCCGATGTAATTGAATCTCAAATTGTTTTTATTATATTCTGTAATACTATGGGGAGACACTCTAAATATTATAATAGTTATTAATATTAATGTTAATAACTGGTGCTCTTTCACAGGTCAGTTGCTGAATTAAGCTCAGTTATGGGTTCATAAATGTAAAATCATCAAAGCTTGCACAGTGGGAGATCCTCGTTTCCTTCCTCTGGCCCTGGTTAAGCAAGTGAACTGATCCTTACATTGTTCCTTGCTAATTGTGAGACAGATGCTTTGCATTTTTTAGATCTCGGCTACATCTAAAGAATGTGGCTTTCTTGATAAGACCCTCTAAAATTAGAAAGTTGTAGAATTATCTAGTAATATGTGTCTTAATAATTCAACTTGTCATGGCAACATGCAATTAAAACTTTCCTTTGGGACCAAAGAGAAAAATCCCAGTTACTGCTAAAGAAGTTTAGCCAATACATAATGAGAAGAATAATTCAAGTAAATGGGACTGAGTTTCATGAAGAAAAGTAAAATAAAAGCAAAACATTGTTGAAACAAGGAAATTAATTATGACTGCATTTGATGATTTTATGGTTTTTGTAACCTCACTTATTAGATTCTCTTTTTATTATTCCCAGTTAAAGCAGTATTATTATTTTCTTACTTGGTAGGGAAAAGGGCATTAAATTTACTCAAAAATTATCTTGTAAAATAAGTGTAACTGATACCAAATATTACTTTTATTTAAAGGGAATATAGGAAAACAGATACTGCATTCCACTAATACAGTGGAAGCATTTTGAACAAGGTTAGTCAAAGAAGAGGTTTATTTTTATATATTTATATCTATATCAATATTTATATTGACATTTTTATAACCTGTGTATCTGATTAAGTTATGTATACTTTTTTTTTAATCCTGTAGTAAGATAAGTCATCTTGTTTTATATAAACTAGAGTGTAAAATATTATAGCTTAGGTACACTATTTCTTTTCTGCTCTTACTGTTATAACTAAATGTCTGTAGATTATTTACTATATTGTATTGACTCTGAGATGTCCATTTGTTTTTTTGCATTCCACATCTCTGAAATAGGGATGCACCTTATTTTAGGTGACCTATCATAATTAAATTGCTAGCAGTTTTTCTTTCTAGATGGTTTAAATTATAATGTATTAATATGTCTTTCACAACTAATACTGACAGATTCAGTGAAATACTAAATATTGAGACCACTTCTGAGAGAGTAACAAAGTTTAGCAGGGACTGTTTGTTGCCCTGCAATAATTATTTTTCCTCTTTTTCAAAAAGGTAGCTGAGCATAGAGCGAATAAACTAAATTTTGCCAGACTACCTCAAAGATTACTGTACAGATTTGCTAGGGTTTCACAAAGTACTACAAACTGAGTGGCTTAAACAACAGACATTTACTGTCTCATGGTTATCGAGGCCAGAGGTCCAAGATGAAGATGTCAGCAGGGCCATGCTCCCACTGAAGGTTCCAGGAAATGATGTGTTCCAGGTCTCTCTCCTAGCCTGTGGTAGCTCTGTGGCTTATGGCAGCTTAATTCCACTCTTCGTCTGATGTTCTCCTTGTGTCCCTGTCTATCTCTTTGCATGGTATTCTTTTTATAAGGAAACCAGTCATATTGTATCACAGGCCCATCCCACTCCAGTATGACCTCATCGTAACTAACTGCTTCTTCAATGGCCTTATTTCTAAATAAGGTCATATTCTGAGGTACTGAGTGTTAGGAATTCAACATATGAATTTTGAGGGATACAATTCAACTCATAGCAGTAACTACATTCTGGCCAGTGAGATATAAGCAAATGTGTCAGCTTCTGGACGCCTTCCTTAAGACAGAGTTGTCATGTATTTTTTACTACTTTTCTTTAATTTCTCCTCCATCTTGCTCCCTGGAAGAGGGATATTACCTTAGAATATGAGAATAGAGGCCACAGCCCAAGAATATTAGAGCAGTGACCCGGATGGAATCTTGATTCCTAAAAACTTTGGAGAGTACAGCTAGGTACCAAACTTGAGTCTAAGCCAATATCATTATGAATTTTTCTGTTATTATCAGCCAACCCTAGTTTGACTCGATATATGAGCTCTTCCAATCAGTTAAAACCTTGGCTATAGTGGTAGGCCATTCACATGTGTCATGAACTTTATAAACCTCATTTTCCTATTTGTAAAAGGAAGATAATCACATCTACCTCAATGTCAATATTAAAAGTTCTAGTGTGTGTACAGCATTTAGCACAATACTGGCAAACAAGAGATTGTTGTTATGGAGGTTTTCATCTGAATGGAAGATTGGAATAAGTGTTTATTAAGGAGCTTTCAATTCTCTGCTGTTGTTGTTTTTTTTTTTTTATTTTATTTTACTGAAGCAGTATTATAAGTACTTGAAATAGATGTTACCATCTATTTACTCATTCATTTGTTCATTCAACAAATAATTATTCAGCACTTTCCTTGTACCAGGAACTGTATAGGCAATGGAGGTAGAACAGTGAGTGTAAACAAATTGTCCCTGTTCCCTCCCTCAGGAGGCTTACACTCAAGTTGGGTATAAAAGCTGCAGAAGAAAGGCTGATGATGGTGTTATTATGCACATGACCTTTGACCTCATCTATCTTGGAATATGTTAAACTGTGGAAAAGTGGAACTGTGAGTGAAAAAGCACCGAGCTTGACAGAATCAACCTGTACCAAAATGGGGGAACAACAGAAAGTATCAGATGCAATGTCGCTCACAATGAAAGTGACTTGCTAACATACTTCACTTTTAACCTAATGCATTTCAGTTTGCAAAAAGCCTATGAAACACAGCATGCCATCCATATCAGCAAATAGATGTTCCAGGATTTTAGTTTGAAAAAGAAATCTTTTTAAAATTATTACTGACAACAACAATTACAATAATTATGACTTTTCTTGAATGTTTTATTCTGAATTATATTCCATCAATGCTGTATATAAGTGGTTGTCTGTATTATCTTTGAAGAGAGTTGCTGTGTGTCTAACTTTAAAGTTCATTATTTTTGCTTTTTGCCTTTTCCTTCAAGTAGAGATTTTTTTTTTCTTGTCTTCTGTGTTTTCCCAGCAGGAATACTATTTTAAACAGATTGCTCTTTTCATATGTTCTGCCTCTAGAATTGGCATGATTATGGTTGGGCCTTTAATGGGGGAATTATTGGAAGTAAGGAAGGTTTCAGCTTGATATAGCTAAACCTTGTCCTTGACCATTTTACAGTGAGAAATAACTATTTAGATTGTCATTTATCAGACCCTGAGAGTCCAAGCAACAGATTTGTCATAAAAATATTTTTTCAGAAAGAATTATTCAAATTGTTCATTAAATTACTTCCTAGTTAATAAAAGTGAAATGGGTTCATCTTTTGAATAATGTTATTGTAGAAACTAAAAATCCAAAAAGATAAACTCTCTGGTGACAACCTAGTGGGAGACTGGACACCTGTGGCTTTATTGATACACAGTGCCTAAAAGTAAACAAAGCATAGTGCAATAAAAGAACTGCCATGCTTACATTTCTGTCTTTTCCAGTTTATTCAGGGACCGGTGTTCATCATCTGCACTGGGTTCTGCTCTTCTCAGTTACACACTTTGACTGTCAGAGCCTAAATATTTATAGAATGAAAGTCCGTGCACCATACCAGTTACAATAGCTAATCTTGTCTTTCTACTGCGATAGAGGACATTTAGACAATGTAAAATTAGATTTTATTTATTATGCCAAAGGATTTTTAGATTCATGGCTATATGCAATGACTTACTTTCAAAATTAACTGATTATTAATGTAGCTCCTGTATTAGAACTATTGCATAGTTTTATTATTATTTGATTTATATGGTCTGTTGTCAACAACAGTAAAAAATCTGTATGCTAATTTTCTAGCCTACAGATATGTATAGCTGTGTTTACGACTCTTTCAGTATAAGGAAAGTCTAAAATATTTTCTGATACTTTAAATCTTGGAAGAGAAAAAAATAAAAGAATTTTAGGGTTGTAGTTTGTGTTAGATATTAAATCGTTTGCCAAATATGACTTATAATGACAATGTTGACAACGTTCTATGGAATTTCAGCACCTCTTTCTTTTTAAGTTAATTTAATTTTTTTAAATTTTTAATTGTTGAGAGAGAGCATAACTGGGGAAGAGGGGCAGAGAGAGAGGAAGGAAGAAAGACTCTTAAGGAGGCTCCCGGCTCAGTGTGAGACCAACATGGGGCTCAGTCGAAACCCCTGGGATCATGACCTAAGCCAAAATCAAGAGTCAGATGCTGAACCAACTGAGCCATCCTGCTCCCCTCAGCACCTCTTTTGGTCTTTACTCAAAACCAAAGCTGTTTCTAAATCTACATGCAGTTCAGATAGCCACCTATGTGTGTGCTTGAGTGATTGAAAATTCCAAGTTACGGGCCCTTGGGATGATTGCATTAATGCACTGTGGTGTGAAGACCACAATTCATTTCAAACCTTTCTCATAGTCACGACTGGAAAGAATATCATGCTTTAATCACATGCTTTAGTTCGTACAAATTAATGTTTTCTCCTCATAGTTCAAAAGAAAATAGCATAAATTTCATGCTCTCACAAATTGACTTTAAACTGTTGATGGATGGCATTTGGAAAGAAGGAAATACTCAGCATCCTCCTGTAACATCTTTCTGTTTTTGAACATTGTCATGTATAGCCCAAGGCATTTAATAAAGCCCCCAGACTATAGTCAGTGATCAAAGAATACGTTAGAAGTGGGGTGTCCATGGGGCTCTCCATGCCATCTTAGGGACCAGACAGTCCAAGGGTCATGGCAGAGGAAGGGCAACATGGTGAATACAGAAGAGCCCGAGTTCAGGTCACCCTATAATTTTACTAGATTTGCAATCTTGGGGAATTTATCTAGTCTTAGTAAGCCTCAGTTTTTTGTGCATCGATGATAATAGAAATGAGAGGCAACAATCTTTTTTTTTTTTTTTTTTTTTTTTTTTTTTTTTTTTACAGGGGAACAATAGGATGTTGTAGAGTGTGCCCATTAAATGATAATTATGTGATGTGATAGAAGTTCTAGCTAAAGCTACAATGGCAATCATACTGCAATATATAAATAAATCAATAGGTTATTATCTTTAAAAAGAATTTTTTTAATTTATTTATTTTTGAGAGAGAGAGACAAACAGAGTATGAGCAGGGGAGGGGCAGAGAGAGAGAGGGAGACACAGAATCAGAAGCAGACTCCAGGCTCTGATCTGTCAGTACAGAGCCTGACACGGAGCTCAAACCCACGAACCATGAGACCATGACCTGAACCAAAGTCGGACGCTTAACCGACTGAGCCACCCAGGCACCCTGGTTATATATGTTAAACTTACACGATGTTAAACTTACAATATGTTAAACTTACAATATATCAAATGTATTTCAATTAAAAATTAAATAAAAATTTTAATATGTCAAATATATTTTAATTGAAACTTAAATAAAAAAATATAATGTGATCTCCAGAGGCAGACCAGCGGGATTTGAATCCTGGTTTCCTTCATTTGCATGGGACAATTACTTAACCTCTCTAGGCCTTACTTTATTTATTTTAACATTTATTATAGTAATAGTACTGTTTTTTTCTTAGTGTGTTATTGTTAACAAATGAGATTATCCAGGTGAAATATTTAGATTAGAATACCATCTAGAATGGTGTAAGTGCCCAATAAATATTGATGTTTTACTTGTAATTTTCATGTGCTCTATGTGGCCTGAAAGTTTGTATTTTAGCCAGATCATACCAGCTGTGTAGAGAAGGGACTATGTGGAGGAAGGCTTACCCTAGAGGCACAGTAAAAGGTCCTCAACTAAGATGGAACAAGTGGGAATATAAATAAAGTGAATTGATGGATTTCATGTTATTTTTCAGGTAGGACTGAGAAAATTTGCTCACTAAATATGTAGGAAGTGGGAGAAGTTGATAACCTTTTTGTGCCTAGAGCAATAAAAGGTAGATGATGTTCCTATTAGTAGAGATAAAAAAGGCAGGAGAATAAAATTTGGAAGGATAAAGATAATGAAAATAGTTTTAGAAAATAGGTATCTGTACCATTTCTTCAAATAAAGTAGTTTAGTACCAGAAAGAAAGAAAAGAAAAGAGAAAAGAAGAAAAGAGAAGAAAAGAGAAAAGAAAAGAAAAAGTAAAAGAAAAGAAGCGAAAAGAAAAGAAAAGAAGGAAGGAAAGAAGAGACGAAGAAAGAAAGAGGCAGAAAGAAAAATAGGTCCCTATGTCCAGGGCTAATATTACATGACAGTGCAAGAAATGGTAAAAGTTGTTTGGGGGAACATTTACACAAATCTTAGGAATTAGTGAACATGTTTAGAGAATCAGACAGAGCCTCATTTCCTGTCAACCACAACTGCAGTGATTGCTCTTTTGAACAATTTAAGATGCACTTGAGAAAGCTGGCAGGGAAGAAAATAGGAATCTTAATTTTTTGCCTTAATATGAATTAATTAAATTAAATAGCTGGTCTTCTCTTACTGTTCATCTAAAGGTACATGGGCTACTTGAATTTACTGATTTTTGAAATGAGTTATTATTTTGGAGAATATTGGGAATAATATTACAGTGAAAATGCAAAAGGGTACTAGGTATCTGGAAGAAAGAAGGAAGGACAGTTAGAGAAATGCAAATGACAACAAGACATTTTGCCTCATTTGCATCATTACTTAGGGTTGAAACTCATAATTTTTCTAAAGGGATTTTTATAGGTCTTTCATTCATTCAACAAATACATCTTAAGTAACCACTATGTTCTGAGCACTTCTAGGAGCTCAAGATACAGTATGAACAAAAGAGTTAAGGGATCTTCCTCAAAGAGCCGGTATACGCTATTTGGAGGAGAAAAACTAAATTAACAAGTTATCAAAATACACATTGTAAGTTCAGACTGTGATTGGTAAAAATAAAGGAATTAACAATGAGGCATGATACAAGGTAATGGACGTTCTTACTTTGGTTAAGAACCTCATCTTAGGAGATAATGAAATCATTTTCATGTATACTACAGTGATTGTTAGAAGACACATGGACAGTTTATGGACACAGATTTTAAATTAAGGGATTTTATTTATATTAACTATATAATTTTTTTAAAAAAACAAATGAGAGATATTAGGGTATAGTTCTGTATTTTGGAGAAAAATCCAGTTTAAAGAAGAAACTGATGATGTAGGATAAATGGGGAGTCTCAAAAGTGGAATCATAAGTGGTGAACTGTGATGGGATCCTGAGCACAGAGCAACAGCTTTTAGTAGGAAGTGGACATTTCTTCTACTCCAGGAGAGGGAAGCTGAGTATACTGCATAGATGCAGAAAAAGTAATAGTTTTCTTGACAGGACCAAGAAAGATCTCTCCCCTGTTCTTGTTTTTGTTTTTCTCTTCTGTTTCTGTTTTATTCCAGCCCAAGTAGGCAGAGACACATTGAAATTGTTTACCATGATGTGTTGCTGATTTCCAAACTTCTAAATACACTTAATTAAAGCTTTTCCCCTGAGTAAGAAATTCATTTTAATGCAAATGCTGACATACTGAGTAGAGTTTACATTTGTATTCAAAGTTGGAAGGAAAATCTCTTGTGTAAACTATTAGTTCTATAAGAAGGCATATACCCAAAATTGAGCAATTTCATGAATCATT